ATATAAGTAAATACAAAAAGAGGAATATATTTGTGGTAGAAATTGTACATCAGAATGTACATGATTTTCTTTGGAAAGGATATTGTCTTCAACTTAATATAGCGTTTTTAATTTAAAAAAATACAAAAATCAGTTATGCTACACAATAAAATAGAACTTACAAGATGCATACATTGAAGACTATTTGAATTATTTCATCAATTTGTTGCAATTTGTCGGGTGATATTTTAAGCCAGTAGTTAAAAACCGGTATTATTTTTTTATATAGATGTTTACCACTCAATTGAAAATTGTATTCAGCAGGTTCTAAAAGTTTCTACACAACAGAAATCAAATAAAACAAGTATTAAAACAAAAAATTCATAAGATTGAATTATATATACGAAGAAATAAAAGAGAAGATGCTACAGAACTGACCTTGTCCTCCTCCGTATTACCGCTTAAAGAATAGTAGAAAGGTAAAACTTTTTTCATGTCTGTCATATTGCACCCTAATCTAAATTATAGTAATATATAGGAATCTATAAATTTTTGTAAATTTATACATAATCGAAAAGTAAACAAATTAGCAATATTATTTAATTCCCTGTTTTATAATAACATATTGTATAATGTTCGAATTATCAAACATTGTTGTTAAGTACGAGTAAGACTGATCGTGATACGTACTGCGTCGAGGATTACGTGTAAAATTCATGTTAAAATTATTCCACATAAAAATTGCTAACAAAGTTACATCTACAAATTTTAAAAGTTTCACTTTCCTATTTACATATTGCTTATTTTACGCATTTTTTAAATAAATTATGAAATTTACATACTTAGAAATTAAATTAGACACAGATTTGAAAATAATTCTGTATATTAAAGTAATTATAGAACGCTTAAACTGATTACTAGAATGTGAAAAATCTTTTGCAGTATTGTTCATCGTACGCATCCTGACGTTCTTTGCAATTAATTTGATGATTTAACAAAATATCTATCTATCACTTTCTCTATCTAATATTATTTTTTTACCTATAGACTATTTGTATAAATAAGATTGTTTTTTTAACTGAGACATTGTTTTTTCCATACAAACTAGAAATAAGATTGATCAAATACATGATAATATCCTATTTCCTAGGTTAAGACATAGCTAATATAGCATAATAAAAGTTCCAAATACACTATATTAGAGATATAATACTATATACCATAAGATAAGAATTGTGAAATTGTTTCATAGAAATTTCGAGAATTTAAGATCTTATAGTAGTAGTTGTGACACATAGTAGCCATCACAAATCGTAAGACAAGGTTAATAGTAAAATTAATAGTAAAATTGAAGGTACAAAAGTTTAATTCAGATTATTCGTAGCGTACAAAGATGCGGATCAAATCCGAAAAAAAAAACATTTTACTTTACAATTTAATTATACTTATGAACAGAGATATTTACATACTTATCTATGCGTCGAAAGAATTGTACTGTAATAAGCTCGAGATGTGTGGAATCCAACTTTTTTGTACAAACACTAATCTTTTCGTATAATTGTAAGAGTGTTTTGAAAGTTACTAATGAAGATCTCCAAAATTAGGTCTGTGCAACAAGAAGAAAGTATTCAGAAGTATAAATTACGGTAGCTCTTAGGGGTGTCTTTTCTGATGTACTAACAACAATAAAATAAGTAATGTATGCTAAAGCGAGGAATAGTGATTCTTGTATATATAGCGCATAAGGCATAAGAAAATCAACCAATCAAAATCTTTGATTTTATGGAAAGGAAAGAAATAAATGACTTTGATTGGTTTATTTCCTTATACATTATACATTATGCGTAATGCATGGGTACGTGCTTCTCATTTAAATCTATGGCTTCATATGCTGACTATCTTGTCGCTACGACATAAATAACATGTAAAAAAACTAATTTTTAAAATCAAATTAGATTTATAGATGAATAATTTTTTCTGTTTTTAATAACTAAATATTTTCTTCGTATTCGTACATATTGTATATGTATAAAATATGTGTATGTACACGCTTAAATCGAAAATTGTTATCAATTATAAAGAAAGTGTTAAATATGTCTTCAACGTATATAATAAAAGATGTAACGTTTACATATATACATTTATATAAACTTAGCATCATTTATTTATAATATTTTTTGTAAATGTATAATCTCGTAATCAAGATCTGTATTTTTCAAAACGAAACAGATTTTAAATATGTTTAAATTTTGTAGAAATCACATTACTATCTCTGTTTTTTTTCAGTTTATACATCAGTGTCACTATTTCTATATGTAATGTTTTAAGTTATATAATTAATAAATATTTTATAATATTGAATCTGAGATTAAATGTCAATATTCATTAGTAGATAATACTTTAACGAATGTAACTGTCAAGTTTTCAATTTAAACATTAATTATTAATAATGTTATATAAAGAATAGTAATGTTAATAATGTTATTATAAAAAATAAGTAAGAAACCATAAGTAATACCACCTTCTCCGCTAAAAGTATATATTATAATATTTTAATTTATCAATTTGTAATTTTTAGGATGTTATAAAATATATATTACTTAAAATGATACTTAGAAACATATGGGTGACACTGATATATAATACCTACAGTTGAAAAAAAACAAAGTCGCTAAATGTGATCTCTACAAAATTTAAACAAATTAAAAATCGATTTTGTTAAAAGAGAGGGAATATTTGATTACAAAATTACATATTTATAACAAAAATAATGTTTAAATTTATGTGAATGTATACATGTAGTACACATAGCTCTTTTATTATACTTTTTATGCGTATTATTGTTTTACTTTACATAATTTGACATGTGCACAGCCAAATGGAATGTTAATTTATTAATGAATAATAACTTTTATAACCTCTATAAGTAGGGCCGTAGAGAGAAAAGCAGGGAGAAGAAAATTACGGGCCCCTATTTCATGCAGATATTACTCCCAACCAGGAGCGGCAGATTTAGAATTTTTAATCTAATCTAAATAAGGAAAGAATGAAGGGAAGGAAAGACTAATATATCTTCAACATGCTCGCAAGATTTTTCGTTTCTTATTTTATTTTATTTTGCCTGATATTTGCAAGAACACATATTATTGCAAGAAAAAAAAATATATAAAGCTTGTTATATTATTTTCTATATACATACGTATATTATGAAATTAAGCTTAGGCTAAGCGTGTAGCCTAAGCTTAATTTCATAAAATTAACGATTTGTGTTGGACCGTCGATATTTAAAAACGAGTAAATATGATATATAATCGGCCAAATGTCGGTCAAAAGCAGGATTTTGATTGCTAATATAATGTACGTCAACCCGCCAACAGAAGTCTGTAGTTAGGCTTGTCAATTCTCGCAAGTACTGTGATACATGATTATCCGTTTATATAGAACTTTTTTCTAATATCTCCCCAGGTGTCTAAGGTAGGCTCCCACTACATTACCTTACTGATGAGCCTAGTAGTGGGAAACCGAAACGAAACGCCAGCTTGTGATATTCTTCGCAATCTTAATTTTTCACAGATTTCGAATTATCATTAATTTAACATTACATCGTTAAAATTTTAATATGTCTTTCAACATATTGTTAAGATCCAATAAGATGCTATAAGCATAAAAAATTGTTAGATTACTTGTGTCAATTTAACTAAAGTGATATTACTACGGTAGTTGATTAGAGTTGCGTTGTAAAGTCTGAAAAAATTTCGGCACGCGATTAAGGAAACTACATACGTGGTAAATAAAATTCACACATTATATTAGCAACCAAAATCCTGCTCTTGACCGTCATTTGGCCGATTATATATCATATTTACTCGTTTCTTAATTTCATAATATATACTTATAAATGCGCTTTCCGTGCTTTGCCCAATGCAAAAGTGTTAATTAATATTTTAAAATCTAACTGCCTTGCCAATGCCGATTTTAGGCAAAAAGTGCCTGATCCTGTTACACGTATTTGTGCAGAACAGGAGCAATGAAAGTTTTTAATTCTAGACAACACGCTGAAAGAACGACTAGCATTAGAAACTGGCAGAGTACAAAATATTCGTAAATTTTTAAAATGAATTTTAGATTTTAAAATAAATTTTAAATACCGCACACACATAAATACATATATGTATAATATACATGTATATATATGTATATATACATTGTATATATATATTTAATTATTTATTTAATTATTTTCTGGATTTTTCTATCAATTTTGAGAATATATGAACTTTTCTCTTACTCTTAAAATATTTTGTTGATCAAAACAAATTTTCTCACTTTTACTTTCATAATATAATTTCTCTCTAAAAATTTCCGATTGAATAATTAATTTGTTTTCCGTAATTATTCTTTAGATTATACATCAGCTGGAAGAAGTTCAAAAGGAATTTGGTGGAATTGACAAAAATATTTTTTTATATATTTAGTTAAGTAAATTTATATTCGTAATCTATATCAGTTCACAGAATGTTTTTACAAAAAATAAGAAACTATGAGCGAGTTCAAGCTAACTTCAAAGCGGCTAGGTCTGTTTGCCGAGCGAATGAACATGATTGGTTGGCTCCATAGGTAAGAACTAATCATGTTCAATCGCTCGATGAGCAGGCTAGCTCATTTATTTATTAGAAAATTGGTATCCACAAAAAATCCGGGCCCGGGGGGAATCACCCCGTCATCCCCCTCCCTCTTGTCAGGCATGTCTATAAGTATCTCTATACCTTTTATAGAAATATATTTCTATTTGTTATGCACGGGTATAATAAAATTATACAAATATTAATTTTTATCAGCGAAATGCAATAAAAACTTTATTATACAATATATTATTTGTACACTTTTCCATAAATCATTTTTTTTTTACATAATTTATTTATATAATATATATAGTATATGCATTCTATTATCACTTGTACCATTAGCACAACTATTTTGTATAATGTTATTTAATAATCAGTGCAATGAAAAATTTTGCCTTAAAAAAAATGACTTTCAATTTAGAACGTTCCAGTTAAAGGATCTTTAGGCGCATCTTGGGTATCCCAATTCTTAACCTCATCTAGGAACTTCACCAGGAGTGGATTGCCACCTAATCGTTCAATTTCAGTTCTCGCAGTCGAATCCAGTTCTTCAAGTACATTTCTCGTGTATTCAAAGGAACCAAATCTTTCTAATAATTTAATGCAATGACGTTTCACTTCGATATCCTTTGTTCGTTGCCGTAAAATATCTTTATTAAGCATTATTAAAGAAACATATAAATTTAATTAATTATAATAAAAAATTTCAAACCTAAAGCATGTGGAACAATTAGTAAAAAATTTTGTTAATTTGTATAATAAATATACTTTTTACTAAATTAAATTAACATTTTTTATAAAGGATACTTATTATTTGCCTATCGTCGGGATTGCTTCTAAGCGCATGAATAATCGGAAAACTGAATTTTCCTTCGGTTAAATCTTCACAATAACTTTTATTCTCAGTGTACTGTAACAAGAATTAACGTAGATAATATAAATTTATTTCATTAAATCTAATATATTATCGCTTACCTCACTGAGGCATAAGTTGCAATAATCATCACGTATTTGAATATATAATCCCAAAGTAGCTATTAGTGACGAAAAATCTTCTTCATAAGTTGAAAATAGTTTCATTAGTCTTACCGCTAAATTGAAAAGCCCACCAGTTTCTGCAAAATTAAATAATGTTTAAATCTTTTTTTAACATAAATAACTTTTTTCTATATGTACATAAATTAGAGATTGTAAATATTAGTAGTTACTTCTTATTGTCATAGTTTTGTAATCTTCCTCAGTTGGACAGATGAAATTATCTCTCCAAAAAATATCCATTCCCTGACCTCTATGAATTTCTAATGTTTGCTCCATATATACTTGCGTTGCCTGAAAATAATATTATGTATCAGTAGCATATATACTATTATTTTTCAATTACTAATTTATTTGTATATTTAATGTATAAAATACCGCGTGTTATATATTTCTTGCGATGACATTGATACAAAGTTGTATCTATCTACATACGTATCAATTTTTTATTTCTATTTTTACACTTTTGGTAATCAATATTAACCGTATAATCAAATAAAGAAAGAAAAAAAGATTTAAAGTTAAAAAAAAAAGTTAAAAAAAGAAATCTGTATGTAACAGCAAACATGGCCATGCAGATTGTGTTTCGCATTTATTAACATATTAATGTGATATTTGAGTCTCTAGAAATTAATAGTCTACATCGTCATTTATTAAAATTATTCATTGCTCATTATTTATAAAAATAGCTGCTTTTATCAATATTCGTTATTAATATTAAGAAAAAAAAATATTAAGAAAAGTGTTTAAAAAAAACAGTATGAGAAAATGAGAGAATAATAATAGTATTTTCAATTTAATTTATAAAAAAATACCCTTTTACATAAAACAATTATGTAATATTATTGTATGAATTTTAAACTTTGCATTTAATGTAAATTGAAAACTCTTGTAAGTAGCACTGAGAGATGTACATCTCTTATCATGGTTTGTTTTACATATCAGAAAGAATATCGTGTCATAAAACGTCAAGGCCAACAGAGATCACAAACGTTTCTCTAATGTAGTCACTTACCGCTGGATGTTTTAAATTAATAACTTTTTCCAAAGCAATGAATAATACATAACTTGCAGCATTTAATGAGCTAGCAATTCCATAAACTGAGTGTGCAACAGGAATGCCCCTTCGCCTAATGGAATTATCTTGAATATCATCAATCCTGCAAAAATGAATAAAAGCTATTATGTAATATAATGATTTAAAATTAGACAGACTAGAATAAATAAATATATTAAAAGAAACAATTATATTTCTAAAATGTTAATATTTAAGTATTCTAGTGTGAATTTATATACATAGTTCCAGTTTTGGAAACTGCTTGTTAAATATCTTCAATTTTGAAAATATTTAATATGGAACATAATCAAAACTAAAATAATAATGTCGTCGAGCCGCCATCAGAGGTCTATCGATATTCGCAAATTCTCGCAAGTGCTTGGATACGCGTATATCTCTTCATATAAAATATCAATTGAATAACTCTCTCATGCGTATAAGTGAATCTCAGTGTTTAAGTATTTAAGTATGAATTTATATACAGGGTGTCTTACATAACTGTAAACACGATTTTTCCGGCACGTTCAATGATTTCATAAAGCTTATTTTGAGTAAAAGTTAGTTAGTTTTGACAAAGTTTGACATTGTTGTGCGGCTGCCTTTTTCAGTTTACAGTTAATTTCAGCAGAGTACAGACGTGTCATTATCTCATTTTAATTTTCTTGTTTTTAATGCCTTCGTTAATTATAATTAAGATAATATGTATTTTGACAAATGCAACAGCCTTGTTACAAAAATTGTGTGTAGATGAGTCCATCATTTAAGGTTTGAAATTAAACTTATTTTTTGTTCATTTTTACACTATTTGTTAATTAAGTTGTATTGTAAGTTTAATCATTTTTCCACAGATTTATTACCGATCGATCACAATCGTTTTAATAAGTTTCTTTCTTTAAGAATGGATTCTTCTGTTACTAACAATGCTTCTTATTACTGCACTAATTGTACTTATGAAGAAGACTCAATTCAAGAGTCGAAACTAGTTAAGTTATGTATTTGAAGTTCTACGATTTTGCGATAATGTAAAGTTAATTTTTTTTTATTCTTTTATTTTTACATACTATGTTTTTTGCGTTTTTTGACGATTTAATATCTATTTTATGTTTTTGACTACTTCATTTACAGATTAAAATTTTTAATTCTTGACTCTTAATTTGTCTTTTTAATTTATTATTAGTTAGTTTTGAATTGGCTACAAATTGCAATATTAAAAATTTTCAAAATATTATTTTTTAAGAAAAAAGTCAAGATCACCCTAATTTTTTAAATGACACTACATATTTTTTACTTCATAATATTATTCAATATTATTACTACTGTCAAAACAAATTCGATGACCTGCTATACTATGACCTTAAAGATGTATGGAATTAATAAACAGAAACGTTTTTTCGTGAAAAATTATTTTGTGTTAAACTTTACATAATTTTCATTACATTGTTCAGTAGAAAAAATGTACTTGTAGATTAAATTTAGAAACCGATGTAGCCATTTCTGAATTCGTGGTATTCCTGATACACAATTTATTACTCATTTGTATGTACATATGTATGTACGTATATGTAACTTAAAAAATTTGTCTTTAGTAATAGTAGCATTATAATTATTGAGAAAGATGTGTGATAAAAAAAAGACGCAAAACAAAATATTATATAATTATATATGTTGGTGTAACAAAACTCAAACTTACAGAATGCTTGAATTATGGAGCATATTTATTATACCATCGATTTCTTGGACTTTATCATCCGATATCTTTAGCCAGTAATTAAAAGCCTTTGCTAATTTTGCTCTTTTTTGTTTTCCGGGAACTTGAAGGATATACCTGATTGGTTCCAATAATTTCTGTAAGAAGTTTCATTTCCAAATTTTATTTAAATTCGATTAAAGATAGTAAATAACAGATATAAAGAAATAACTGCAATAAAAATCCAGAAATTTTCGTAATTTCCAAGAATTTGCCAAAAATTCGGAATTTTTAATTGTAGAAATTGAAATTATTGATCTCAACAAATTATACTTAATATTAATGAATAATTAAACAACAATAAAATTGCCAACTCCTTAATAACACATTAAGAAAATAATAATCTAAGCAATATTAAATCCCCACCGCAACGATATCTTTGTTTTTTTATTCTTGGACAATATGTGCCTGAATTATTTTATCACAACTCAGCGTTATAACTGTGTTGGACAACTCACTCTTGTTTTATAAACTATTCCACAGACGAAACAAAGATATTGTTATGGTGTATTTAATTACTGAAGATGACTCAAACTTAAGTCCAAACGGACATATGTAACGTAAATTATTGTTTAAGTTCATTTCGCAATATAACAACCTGCGGTTGTGTATATGACTCCTATAGCCATATATTTATATATTAAGTATAATAAGAAAATAATAATGTAGTATATATACATATATATAATGTAATATTACATATATATATATAAATATTTAGTTATCAAATAATTAATAAATATTTTGTCACGAGAGAAATCAACCCTGCATATCTTTATCCTTCAATTGGTGCATTGCTTGCAAAAAAGTACTGTCAGTACTAAAAATCTATAAAGTAATTATTAATAAAAGACTCAAATGATAAAAATCTAAATACATTAAGTAATGCCTATAAAAGCCAACACTCATCTTATTAAAAATGTTACATTAAACTAAAGTCAAATAACAAAAAAAAAAAGAATAAATAAAAGTAAAGACCATTCAATGAAATTTATAAAATTAAAGAACTATTTTTTAAATTTATTTAATACGTTTTTAGGATTCACATTTAATTAATGATTAAAGTAAAAAATAAAGCAGTAAAAATGAAAAAGTACAAAGAGCAGAGTTAAAAAAAGTTTATAATTTTTATAATTAATTTTTATAATTATAAATAAAAACAAATTCAGAAAAGATTTAACACCACATTTTCCTCTTGCGTCCATACCTATACATATGTACGTTTCAGGAGAAAAAAAATTATATTTGCACAACTTTGTCACGTCACATATGGATTGTATTCTTTGGAAAAAATTCATGATATTCAATAGTTCGATTTATATTCAATATCATTTTGTCAGGACAGTTAAGACTCCATGCAAACAATGAAATAATCATACAGCGTCTTGCAATTATTTAAGATATATGTTAAGTCGATCTTAACGCGACATACATTAAGACGATCTTAATGTATAATATTGAATTGTAAAAATATCAACGTTTTAGCTGTTATGTGAGAATGTTATCAGTTAACTAGTTGATTGTTTCAGAGTAACGACAGTTGAAATACAACTCGACAAAGGGGGAATCGAGCAAGAAGATAAAATATGAAAAAGAAGAATTGTTTAAATTTACGTTCGATATATAGAAATTTTTTTGTAATCATAATTGTATTATACTTGTAAAATATAAAATAATATATTTATATGTTAATTATATATTTCTTTTTCGTAATATAAAAAGACGTTTATATCAGAAACAATAATAACGCGCGCATGAGCGCTCGTATAACAGAATTAAAAAGGTGAAAAGTATATATATTATAGTAAAGACTAACCTCATCTTCCTCTCTATTACCGCTCGCGGAGTAATAAAAAGGAATAGGCTTATTACAGTCCGTCATCTGAGTGGTGACGTATCTCTTCCGCAGCGATAAGTGTGAACGAGGTAACTGCTTCAATTCAGTCAGAAATATCAGAAATAAATTCGCGACAGTTAATAGCTGATATAATTGTACGGTGTCTGCCGGAACACTAATTCTGATTCATTCTGATACGACTGATTTTATACTTGCGCGCAGTGAAGTAAATAGCTCAATTTTAAATGCAGATAGTATGAGTGATAGACACTACACTACAGCACTACTTCGCTGGTGTAATAGTACAGTAATGCTATAGTACAGTAGTGTCTCAAAATACTCTTACAAGGAAACGGTCAGAACTGTCCCTCACCGATTTTGATGCGCTTTGGATATATTGTAGAGCATATCAGAAAATATTCGACCCATATTTTTTTACAGCGGCGTATCTTGAGGTTTAGGGGGTGCAACACCCCCTTGAAAAAAATAGACTTTTTCCCTACCGTGAAAGTCGCATAAGACAAAATCATATGTCATGGTATACGTAAATGGGATAAGATCGTATGTGAACAGGATATGAAAGACATATGATTCATATCCGATCGTTTATGAAGTATATGCGAATCTTTCACGAGTCGTATACGAATCGTGTACGAATTGTATACAAATCGTATAAGATCATGCAATTAACATGTTATCGCATACGATCAGATATGATTCGTATGTCTTTCATATACGAATTTGAACCCTTCATATACGATTTTTATACCAAATTTACGGTAGGGTTCGTTTTCAGCGAATATTTTTGAAACTATGCCGCGTATGAAAAAATGGTTTATACAAAAATTGTACAGTATTTTATGCTCTATATAATAGTGTACTCATTTTTTTTAAATCAAATTTTTTAATTACCCCCCACCTCCACTCGAGATACGCCGCTATAAAAAAATATGGGTCGAATATTTTTTGATGCTCCACAATATATTCAAAGCGCATCAAAATCGGTGAGGGATAGTTCCGACCGTTCCTTTGTTAGTGCTCAATAGTACTTTTCTACAAGGGTTTAGAACGACAACCGCTTACTGAGCGCTCAGTAAACGGTTGTCGTTCCGATACGGTTGGCGCACCCATAGTGGGTTCTAAAGCTTATTCTACAATGACCGTGACCCATAAAAATTGAGCAATCATATTGGAATATGAGGAGAATAGTCGATAACGATTGGTCAATTTTTGTTACTCATTGTAGAATAGGCTTTACCCCGAATCTACATTGATTGAGACCAAATGTTATTCTAATAATTGCCGAGAATTATTCAGAAAGGAAGTCCAATGCTGAACATGAATCGTTTGCAGTTTAAACGTGTTTTATTATTTTCTACAATTTTTGAATATACAATCACTATTCGATCAAAAAATTGTTATCTGCTGCAAGGCGAGCAATGCGCAGATGCTGACGTCACAAATAGGAAAGTATGGGTCGTCTCTGACGCCGTATTGACAATCGAAACGGGGGCACTTTTCAGGCGATCAACCTATGGAGAATTTACTCCTTACTTAATGCTCCGTGGTTATGGTCTTACGGTCTCTACTGTGATTGGTCAATTCGCTTACTGTCTACGCTTAGGGCCCTGTCACACAAAAAAACTTAAGGCTGTAAGACTTAGCAGTAAGCGAATTGACCAATCACAGTAGAGGCCGTAAGGCCATAACTTAAGAAGTACCAAATCCACAACGTTGATTTCCTTACTGCTTACGTCTTACTGTCTTAAGTTTTTGTGTGCCAAGGCCGTTTTACTGATTAGTACAATTCCAATAGTGGGGGCCGGGACGAAACGCCGCGGTAGATGACAATATTTCACATAGGCCCACAAAAAATACATATTGAGTGTTTTAAAGGAACAAGGAAGTTAAACGACAATATTAAAAAAAAATTCCTCTGTCATTGGCTGAACTTCTTGTGTGCATAACGATTTTTTGCTATATAAATTTCACAATTGACTTTTTTTAATGAAATTACATAAATACGCTCCTTTATTAAACATTTTTTATTTATCTCAATTCATATACAGAAATAAGTTTTAATCACTTTTTTGCTGTTTAACTATTAAAAGAAAATACATTATACAAAGTTGTGGACATAAATTACGAAATGCTACGACTGATGTTTTGTTAATAAAAAAATACATAAATCTGAATTTTTTATCATTTGGGTTACAGAACTCTCAGATAGATGTTCTTAACATTTTGTTTTTAAAATCGTCCAGAAACTTTACAAAAAGTGGATTACCCCCTAAACGATCAATTTCAGTTCTCATTTTTTTATCCAATTCATCAAGTACTTTTTCCGTGTACTTAAATGAACCGTAACTCTCTAATATTTTAACACAATAACGTTTCATCTCCATATTTCTTGTTCGCAGTTTTAAAATATCTTGAAATATTATTAAGGATATCTAATCATTATATAAACACTTGTTAAATAGAGATATTTTATATATTTAACTTTCTTATTACTATTATTATTATTATTTATTTAATACGAAATATGTTTCTTAGTATCTACTTATTTCATATTAAATTTAATGTTTGTCAAAGGATACTCATTATTTTCTTATCATCAGGATGGTTGGTAAGCGCATGAATAACTAAGAAACTAAGTTTTCCTTCCGTCAGATCATCGCAATAACTGTCATCATTTGTATCCTGTAATAACAATAAATCTTATTAAATTTGAATTAAGTTTATTTAATTAAATTATTGATTACCTTATCGTGACGCAAATTGCAATAATCATCATGTATCTGGCGATATAATCCTAGAGAACATGCTAGCGGCAAGACATCTTCTTCGTAAGGAGAAAATAGTTTCATTAATTTTACCGCCAATTTGATTATCCAACCACTCTCTATAAAAATATTAATTAACATTCAAATTATATACATATTTATGTGGTCGTTTTATATACAGCAAAAGCTAAAAAAAGCAGAAACATTTACTTCTTGTTGCTACAATATTGTAATCTTTTTCTGTTGGACAAATGCAATTATCCTTCCAATACATCTCCATTCCTTGAACTCTGCTGAATTCCAATAATTCTTCGAGTAGAATTTTAATTGCCTGTTTAAAAATATATAAGTATATAGTTTAAGATAAGAATCAAGGTTCAAAAGGAATATTATCGGTCGGCACTGTAAAAAGTGTAGTTTTGTAACAAGAATTCTACTTTAATAATTTATTTTACATATATAGCCAGTCTTCCGACAAATATAAAATAGACAGGATATTCAGAACTAAATTTGAATAATTTTCAGCAAATAAAAAACGAATAAAGGCTGGAATTAATTAAATAAACCGGCATTCTTCTATACATGTTTTCGTGTATTTTGTGGTAGACCACGAATGAGAAAACTGAATTCTAGAGTATTCCATTTAAGTATCCAATAGAAAGAAGTGGCATGATATTTTTCAAAAACGTTATATATGTTTCAGAAAAATAATTTGCCCCTTTATTATTTTAAAGAAATAGATGCTTTAAAAATATATTAAACATTATATTTCCTAGAAATTCAAATGCGATTTTTAACGAGATTTTTCCACTTTAAAAGCAATTTTAATAAGACTGTCTATTTTATATCTTGATTTCTGTTATAACATATATAAGAAAAGTAAGAGCATACAATTTTTCAAAGTTTTACACAGGCATAATACAATACTATTACCATAGGATGTAAATTAATAATTTTTTCACAAGCAATAAGTTCTAAATAATTTGCAGTGTTCATTGAGTAGCAAAGTCCATAAATAGAATGGGTTACGGGAAAACCTTCTCGCAAAATGGCATCGTCTTGAATATCATCCATTCTGTCAAGAAATAAAAAAAACTATAATTTTGTAAAAATGTACACAAGCCTTTTCAATTAGTAAATAAACTGTATTATTTTCCTTGACCTGTTTCTGTTAAAAATGTGTAGAATAAAAAAGTTAAGGCGGTAGGGCCAGAAATATAACAGCAGGTTGTAACAGTAAAACAATGATTGAAGTAAGAGATCGACAATTATCTTTAAAAATTAGAAAATTTATATATATATGATATATCATTATTAAAACATCATAATTCCGTAAAAAAATGTCACAAGCCAAATGTTTCGAATTTTGTATTATTAACGGATTGCATTCTAAATACATATATCAGTTTTTAATTAGGAAAAGTGATATATTCAAATAATTTACAAAGAAAAATAATACCAGGAATGTTTTTAAAGGTAAAATATAATATCTTAAAAAATTAATATCTACTTCTAGAGAACTTAAAACAAGCAATTTGTGATTAACTCTAAGTTAATATAAATATATATAATTTTGCTTTAAAAAATATGAATAAAAAAATTAATATTAATAAATTAATACAAATAAAAAATTAATATTAATAAACTTTATAAAATATACAATATTCTTTCTACACTTTTGAATTTTATACGAGTATTAATTAAACTGAAATTTATTATAAATAATTAATATGATTTTCTCTCTCTCTCTCTCTCTCTCTCTCTCTCTCTCTCTCTCTCTCTCTTTTTGTCTCTTATCGTTTTTTTGTGAGAGATATATAAGTAAATACAAAAAGAGGAATATATTTGTGGTAGAAATTGTACATCAGAATGTACATGATTTTCTTTGGAAAGGATTGTCTCCAACTTTTTTATCGCTTTTTTATTTTAAAAAAGTACAGAAGTCAGTTGTGCTATACAATAAAATATAACTTACAAGATGCATACATTGAAGACTATTTGAATTATTTCATCAATTTGTTGCAATTTGTCGGGTGATAATTTAAGCCAGTAGTTGAAAATCGGTGTTAGTTTTTTATATGGATGTTTGTCACTCAATTGAAAACTGTATTCAGCAGGTTCTAAAAGTTTCTACAGAACAGAAATCAAATAAAAGTATTAAAACAAAAAATTTATAAGATTGAATTATATATACGAAAAAATAAAAGAGAAGATGCTACAGAACTGACCTTGTCCTCCTCCGTATTACCGCTTAAAGAATAGTAGAAAGGTAAAACGTTTTTCATGTCTGTCATATTGCACTCTAATCTAAATTGTAGTAATATATAGGAATCTGTAAATTTTTGAAAATTTATACATAATCGAAAAGTAAACAAATTAGCAATATTATTTAATTCCCTGTTTTATAATAACATATTGTATAATGTTCGAATTATCAAACATTGTTGTTAAGTACGAGTAAGACTGATCGTGATACGTACTGCGTCGAGGATTACGTGTAAAATTCATGTTAAAATTATTCCACATAAAAATTGCTAACAAAGTTACATCTACAAATTTTAAAAGTTTCACTTTCCTATTTACATATTGTTTATTTTACGCATTTTTTAAATAAATTATGAAATTTACGTACTTAGAAATTTAATTAGACACAGATTTAAAAATAATTTTGTATATTAAAGTAATTATAGAACGCTTAAACTGATTACTAGAATGTGAAAAATCTTTTGCAGTATTGTTCATCGTACGCATCCTGACGTTCTTTGCAATTAATTTGATGATTTAACAAAATATCTATCTATCACTTTCTCTATTTAGTATTATTCTTTTACCTATAGGCTATTTGTATAAATAAAATTGTTTTTTTAATTGAGAACATTGTTTTTTCTATACAATTTAGAAATAAGATTGATCTGCAGATACGTGTTATATGTACAATCCTATTTCCTATTAAAGATTAAGTTAAGACATAGCTAAGCATAATAAAGGTTCTAATTACACTATATTGGAAATATAATACCACATACCATACGACTACATACGATAAGAATTGTGAAATTGTTCCATAGAAATTTCGAGAATTTAAGATTTTATAGAAGTAGTTGTGACACATAGTAGCCATCACAAATTAAGACAAGGTTTTAATAGCAAAATTAAAGGTACAAAAGTTTAATTCAGATTATTCGTAGCGCACAAAGATGCGGATCAATCCGAAAAAAAAAACATTTAACTTTACAATTTAATTATTCTTATGAACAGAGATATTTACATACCTATTTATGCGTCGAAAGAATTGTACTGTAATAAGTTCCAAATGTGTGGAATCCAACTTTTTTGTACAGACACTAATCTTTTCCTATAATTGCGTAAGAGTGTTTTGAAAGTTACTAATGAAGATCTCCGAAATTAGGTCTATAACGTCGTGCAACAAGAAGAAAGTATTCAGAAATATAAATTACGGTAGCTCTTACGAGTGTCCTTTCTGATGTACTAACAACAATAAAATAAGTAATGTGTGCTAAAGCGAGGAGTAGTGATTCTTGTATTATGCGCATAACGCATAAGGCATAAGAAAATCAATCAATCAAAATCTTTTATTTTATGGAAAGGAAAGAAATAAATGACTTTGATTGGTTTATTTCCTTATACATTATACATTATGCGTTATGCATGGGTACGTGCTTTTCATCTAAATCTATGCCTTCATATACTGGTTATCTTGTCGCTAAGACATAAATAACTTTTAAAAAAATTAATTTTTACGATCAAATCAGATTTATAGATGAATAATTTTTGTTGTTTTTAATAACTAAATATTTTCTTTGTATTCATACATATTGTATATGTACAAAATATGTGTATGTACACGCGCCTAAATCGAAAATTCAACAAGTATAAAGGAAGTGTTAAACACCGTCTTCAACGTATATAATAAATGAAGTAGCGTTTACATATATACACAAGTGGGAACAGAATACCATAAACCAGCATTGACTCCTGGCAACGTACCGATTATGTACTGAAAAACGGATTTCGTTTTTCAGTACTAATTCTATATTGGGCCAGTATTAAATAAACAACATTATAGTACTCTTCCAGCGTGTGAACCGGTATTGAATAATAATACCGAGCTAGTATATTATTAGTAGATTTTCGGTATGATATCTGTACAGAAATTAATAAAGAAATGTCTTTAAATATCAGTACAGGAACAGTATATTGCCGATATATCATCGATATCATATTCGTACTGAAATTGACAGAAGAAGTATGTCAAGCGACAATACCGAACCAGTACATTGCTGGTAGATTTTCAGTACCGCATCTATATTGAAATTGTCAAAAGTAACTGATCGGGTATCAGCATTGAAACGGTACATTGCCAGCGGATTATCTGTGCCATATTTGTATAGAAATTGGCAAAAGGAACATGTCAAGCCATTGTACCAAACCAGTACATTGCCGGTAGATTTTCAGTACCGCGTCTATATGAAATTGTCAAAAGTAACGTATCGGGTGTCAGCATTGAAACGGTAAATTGCCAGCGGATTATCTGTACCACATTTGTATAGAAATTGGTGTATTGAACTCGTCCTTTGTCTCCTAGTAACCAAAATTTTATTAAACGAACTATAATCTCTGAATTACATGTATAAATAATATAAAGATCTGACTTCTCAGAGCTGCTCTGAAAAGTCAGCATCCCTAAATGTGAATTTTGATAAAATCATTATTGCATTCGTTTGTCCACTGTTTGTCCACGTGTGTCCACCCCTTATTTTCGTTTGTCCACCCTATTATTATTACATTTTTCATAATAATGAAAAATAATCACTTGGGGGTACTACAATCTTTTTTTTTGTAAAACTTTTTTTTGGAGGGTGGACAAATGAAAATAACGGGTGGACAAACGTGGACAAACAGTGGACAAACGAATGCAATAATGATTTTACCAAAATTCGCATTTAGGGATGCTGACTTCTCAGAGCTGCTCTGAGAGCTGAAGTTATAAAATATTTATGAGATATTACTTAAAATGTTACTTATAAACATGGGGTGACACTGATGTATAATATAGTGGAAAAAAAAACAAAGTCGCTAATGTAATTTCTACAAAATTTAAACAAATTAAAAATAAATTTTGTTAAAAAAAAGGCAATATTTGATTACAAAAAGACATATTTATAAAACAAATGATATTTCTAAATTTATGTAAATCTATACATGTACACACAGCTCTTTTATTATACTTTTTATACGTATTATTGTTTAACTTTACATAATTTGACGTACAGCCAAATGGAATGTTAATTTATTAATGAATAATAACTTTTATACTCTCTATAAGTATCTCTATAAGTATCTCTATAAGTATCTCTATATCTTTTATAGAAATCTATTAATATTTCTATTTGTTATGCACGGGTATAATAAAATTATACAAATGTTAACTTTTATCAGCGAAATATGCAATAAAAACTTTATTATATATTATTTGTACACTTTTCCATAAATCATTTTTTTTTTTACATAATTTATTTATATATCATAGTATATGCATTCTTTTATCACCTGTACCATTAGCACAACTATTTTGTATAATATATATTATTTAAAAACCAGTGCAATGCTACATTATGGCGTTAAAAAAAATAATTTTAAGTTTAAAATGTTCCAGTTAAAGGATCTTTAGGCGCATCTTGGGTATCCCAATTCTTAAGCTCATCTAGGATCTTCACCAGGAGTGGGTTGCCTCCTAATCGTTCAATTTCAGTTCTCGCAGTCGAATCCAGTTCTTCAAGTACATTTCTCGTGTATTCAAAGGAACCAAATCTTTCTAATAATTTAATGCAATGACGTTTCACTTCGATATCCTTTGTTCGTTGCCGTACAATATCTTTATTAAGCATTATTAAAGAAACATATAAATTTAATTAATTATAATAAAAAATTTCAAACCTAAAGCATGTGGAACAATTAGTAAAAAATTTTGTTAATTTGTATAATAAATATACTTTTTACTAAATTAAATTAACATTTTTTATAAAGGATACTTATTATTTGCCTATCGTCGGGATTGCTTCTAAGCGCATGAATAATCGGAAAACTGAATTTTCCTTCGGTTAAATCTTCACAATAACTTTTATTCTCAGTGTACTGTAACAAGAATTAACGTAGATAATATAAATTTATTTCATTAAATCTAATATATTATCGCTTACCTCACTGAGGCATAAGTTGCAATAATCATCACGTATTTGAAAATATAATCCCAAAGTAGCTATTAGTGACGAAAAATCTTCTTCATAAGTTGAAAATAGTTTCATTAGTCTTACCGCTAAATTGAAAAGCCCACCAGTTTCTGCAAAATTAAATAATGTTTAAATCTTTTTTTAACATAAATAACTTTTTTCTATATGTACATAAATTAGAGATTGTAAATATTAGTAGTTACTTCTTATTGTCATAGTTTTGTAATCTTCCTCAGTTGGACAGATGAAATTATCTCTCCAAAAAATATCCATTCCCTGACCTCTATGAAGTTCTAATAATTGCTCCATATATACTTGCGTTGCCTGATAATAATATTATGTATCAGTAGTATATATACTATTATTTTTCAATTTCTAATTTATTTGTATATTTAATGTATAAAATACCGTGTGTTACATGTTTCTTGCAATTACATTGATACAAAGTTATATCTATCTATATATGTATCAATTTTTGATTTCTGTTTTTACACATTTAGTAATCAATATTAACCATATAATCAAATAAAGAAAAAAAAAGAGATATAAGTTGATAAAAAATCTGCACGTGACAGCAAACATGGCCGTGCAGAGTGTGTTTCGCATTTATTAACATATTAACGTAATATTTGAGTCTCTAAAAATTAATAGTCTACATCGTTAATTTTTAAAATTATTCATAATATATTATTTATAAAAATAGCTGCTTTTATCAATATTCGTTATTAACATTAAGAAAAATGTTTTAAAAAAAACAGTATGAGAAGATGAGAGAATAATAACAGTACTTTCAATTTAATTTATAAAAAAATATCCCTTTACATAAAACAATTATGTAATATTATTGTATGAATTTTAAACTTTGCATTTAATGTACATTGAAAACTCTTGTAAGTAGCACTGAGAGATGTATATCTCTCATCATGATTTGTTTTACATATCAGAATATTATGTCATAAAACGTCAAGGACAACAGAGATCACAAACATTTCTTTAATGTAGTCACTTACCGCTGGATGTTTTAAATTAATAACTCTTTCCAAAGCAATGAATAATACATAATTTGCGGCACTTAATGAGCTAGCAATTCCATAAACTGAATGTGCAACAGGAATGCCCCTTCGCATAATTGAATTATCTTGAATATCATCAATCCTGCAAAAATAAATAAAAGCTATTGTGTAATACAATGATTTTAAATTAGACAGACGAGAATAAGTAAAGATATTAAAAGAAACAATTATATTTTCGAACAAGGTTAATGTTAATACTTAAATATTCCAGTATGAATTTATATACATAGTTCCAGTTTTGCAAACTGCGTGTTAAATATCTTAAACTTCGAAAATATATAATATCGAACATAATCAAAACTAAAATAATAATATCACGTATTAAATTGACAAGCAATTCAATAATATTGATGCTAACAAGAACCTTAGAAAAATATTAATATAAAATTTGGTGTTAATGTAAGCTTCCTAAAAATTGTAAATAATTTTTTGCGAAAAATATTACCTAAACCAAGATTCAAACTCAGATCCAAAATTGAATTCCTCTAATTTGGCAAAGGCGTCCTTCCGATTCGACGGAGGCTTCAGTAATATTTGTCGCAATAACAAATAACTAGTGCAAAAAAGATAGTTTTTCTTTTTAAAGAAACTTGTATAAATAATTGTAATTCAAAATTAGACTGACAGGAATAAAACAATTAATTAAGAGAAGTAATTCAATTTTCAGTTAAAGTGAATCTCAGTGTTTATGTATTTACGTATGAATTTATATACAGGGTGTCCTACATAACTGTAATCACGATTTTTCCGGCACGTTCAATGTTCTGACAAAGCTTATTTTGAATAAAAGTTAGTCAGTTTTGAATTGGCTACAAATTGCAATATTAAAAATTTTCAAAATATTATTTTTTAAGAAAAAAGTCAAGATCACCCTAATTTTTGTAAATGACACTACATATTTTTTACTTCATAATATTATTCAATATTATTACTACTGTCAAAAGAAATTCGATGACCTGCTATACTATGACCTTAAAGTCAGATGTGTGGAATTAATAAACAGAAACGTTTTTTCGTGAAAAATTATTTTGTATTAAACTTTACATGATTTTTTCATTACATTGTTCAGTAGAAAAAATGTACCTGTAGAATAAATTTAGAAACCGATGTGGCCATTTCTGAATTCGTGATATTCCTGATATATACAATTTATTACATATGTGTATGTATATATGTTTGTATGTATTTGTAATGTAAAAAATTTGTCTTTAGTAATAGTAGCATTATAATTAATGAGAAAGATGTGTGATAAAAAAAAGACGCAAAACAAAATATTATATAATTATATATGTTGGTGTAACAAAACTCAAACTTACAGAATGCTTGAATTATGGAGCATATTTATTATATCATCGATTTCTTGGACTTTATCATCCGATATCTTTAGCCAGTAATTAAAAGCCTTTGCTAATTTTGCTCTTATTTGTTTTCCGGGAACTTGAAGGATATACCTGATTGGTTCCAATAATTTCTGCAAGAAGTTTCATTTCCAAATTTTATTTAAATTCAACTAAAAAATAGTACAAAAATAGTAAATAACAATAATATAGAAATAATAGGAGTAATAATAAGGGCAATGAGTCAAATACTGAACGCAAGAAAAATTTTCAAATTAAGTATAATATAAAATTTAAAATTTAATACAGACGTTCCGACTCCGATCGGTTCATCTTCAATGCAACAAAAATAAATTATAAAATTTCGGTGTCGCTAATAAATAAATGTAATGTTAGGAAATTATTCGCATCTTGAAATTGTAGTCCATCATGTAAAAGTTAATCCAATAACAGTAAATTCAATCTTGTTAAAAATTGTGTAATAACTAATGTCAATAATGTAAAATTCCATAATGTATATATATATATAAAAAATGTAATGTCGTCAATGATAAAATATTATAATAATTCAGATTTAAAATAATCCAATTTACAGCTTTATCGACTTCTTATGTTATTGTTAAGAAACGCAGTGAAGAAGCAAATTATTTAAAAGAAGCAAAAACGCATGAAAACAGTCTAAGAGGTAGAGAAGGACTCATCAGCAGTTCAAGAATAATTTTAAATAAAATTAGTTAGTTTTTTTATTTTTTTTTCTATAGCAATTTTGCCAAATTGATATTAATATTCTTACAAGATAGGACACAATCTTCACAATTGTGACTTAACAAAATAATGTTACGAAATAAAATTTAATGGTTTTTTTTTGTATTCAAAAGGATTAAAAACGAAGGTCGAAAAACATATACATTATACTAATTTAATAAATTGCATTTCACATACTTACATCCTGTATTGGATCTTATATAGACATTACTTATTATATTTAGATAAAAATCTAAATATAATAGTCAGGAATATGCCTATAAGCGACCATGCTACGCGAGCATGTTACGTAGTTGACTAAAACTGAAATTTATCGCATACAAAATTTCATGATCATTTTTTTAGGAAAAGAAGTTTTTGAAAAATGTATAGCGGTCTTCTTTATAAGAAACATTTTTAAATGTTATTAAAAATGTTACATTAAACTAAAGTCAAATAACAAAAAAAAAGAATAAATAAAAGTAAAGACCATTCAATGAAATTTATAAAATTAAAGAACTATTTTATAAAGTCATTTAATACATTTTTAGGATTCACATTTAATGACAAAAGTAAAAAATAAAGCAGTAAAAATAAAAAAAAGTACAAAGAGTAGAGTTAAAAATAGTTATAATTTTTATAATTGATTTTTATAATTAAAAATAAAAACAAATTCAGAAAAGATTTAACACCACATTTTCCTCTTACTTCCATATACATATGTACGTTTCTGGAGAAAAAAAAATTATATTTGCATAACTTTGTCACGTCACATATGGATACTTAAATTTTTTACAATTTGTATTGTATGGAAAACATTCATGACATTCAATAGTTCGATTTATATTCAATCGTTTTGTCAAGGACAGTTTTAAGATTCCATACAGACAATGAAATAATCATACAGTGTTTTGCAATTATTTAAGACATATCTGTTAAGACGATCTTAACGTATAATGTTGGATTGTAAAAATATCAACGTTATAGTCAGCTATTATGTGAGAATGTTATCAGTTAACTAGTGGATTGTTTCAGAGTAACGACAGTTGAAATATAACTCGACAAAGGGGAAACAATCGAGCAAGAAGATAAAATGTGAAAAAGAAGAATTGTTTAAATTTACGTTCGATATATAGAAATTTTTTTTGTAATCATAATTGTATTATACTTGTAAAATATAAAATAATATATTTATATGTTAATTATATATTTCTTTTTCATAATATAAAAAGACATTTATATCAGAAACAAATAACGCGCGCATGAGCGCTCGTATAACAGAATTAAAAAGGTGAAAAGTATACACATTATAGTAAAGACTAACCTCATCTTCCTCTGTATTACCGCTCGTGGAGTAATAAAAAGGAATAGGTTTATTACAGTCCGTCATCTAAGCAGTGATGTATCTCTTCCGCAGTGATAAGTGTGAATGAAGTAGCTGCTTCGATTCAGTCAGAAATGTCAAAAATATATTTGCGACAGTTAACAGCTGATATAAACGTCAATTGTACGGTCCCTGCCGTCTGCCGGAACACTTCTGATACATTCTGATACGACTGCTTTCGTACATGCGCAGTAAAGCAAAGAATAGCTCAACTTTAAATGTAGATAGTTAATTGGGTGATACACATGCATAGATTAGAGTCCCTATAATAAGGCCAATCTGGCCAATCTTTCTAGTTTGCTAAAACATGGCGTCGTAGATATAGGTGTAGTCAACTGATGTGATACTATAAATATATCGTAAACAGTATATAATCATTATAAATAAATAAAATAACTAATTTTTTAATACATATTGATAAAAGATCACAGCCTGTGTAAAAAGTAAGTGAGATATATAATAGAAAACATGCATGCTGACATGAGGCATCTTATTGGTTCTTGAGGCTATTTGAGGCATCTTATTGGTTCCGCTATATTTTAACAACACCAATAGAATTAGTAATGACTTGGCCAGACTCCTTATTATAGGGACTCTAGCATAGATATATATATGTATATATACACATAGGCCCGTATTCAGAACGCACTTTTATCGATAAAAGCGCGCTTTTATCTCTGAAATTCTATAGTATACGTGACGTAAACTATAGCATGTTAGCGCGTTAACATCGTTGTTAGCGCGTTCTGAATACGGGCCATTATGTATAAGCCGGTTATTTATTGTATTATGGGTGCATTCAGAACGACAACTGAACGCTTTAGTAAGCGGTTCTGCGATTGTCATTCTGAATGCACCCATAGTTAATTCTAAAGACTCCATGTATGCTGTGATCTGCGGCAAACGCATACTGTGACCAATCAGGAGCCAGGCACATGTGCCGGACATTCTGATACGACTGATTTTTATATAGTGCATATGAGAAACAACCAATCTAAATCCCTCCTTTCCTTTCACTTCACGGAAAAGAACTTTGATCGGCTGATTCTCCTATGCACTATACGTTATGCTTTATGCAAAAGCTTGTGGCTTGGCTCTTAAGCCTATCGCACATGAAATGCATAACAGTGCATAAACATAACATAAGACCGCTGGACCAATGAGCATCTTATGTTAATCAATATGGCACTTTATGCTGGATGCTTATTGGTCCAACAGTTTTATGTTAATCTCATTCCACATTGGTCGTATCGTAGGCGTCGCAGGTCACAAATTTGTCGCAACAGCCAATCCAATGTGTCAATTTAAAGTCTCACGACGCTACGATGTTACGATATGTCCAATGTAGAATGGGCTTTATTATAAAGTGTGGAGCACAGAGTTTTATATAACGAATAATGTTGAAGATTGAACCAATTAAAGTTCTCTCTTTCTCCATAAAATAAAAAATTCTGATTGATTGATTCTTTTATGTTTTGCAAAAAGTGCCCCGGTATTTAAGTCCAAAACACAATGTGAGATAACAACGATAAGAACAGTGATAAAAATAGTGTAGAAACAAGCGATATATTAAAGTTAATTTGCATGGTGGAAATGAGCATAATTGAAATAAATAAACATTAAAATTGATTTTAAAATTAACAACTAATTATGATTAAGTATGATCGTCGATTGAGTCAATTTAAATTTGATTGAAATTATTCTGACATCGCGCTTTCTTGAATACCATTATGTGGCAATATTCAAAAGAATAGTAACGACCAATTAGATTGGCTATCATGTTCTTTGTTAGTCCAGCGTTCCATGGAGCAGAAATATACTGCGGAACGGAACAGCGAGATTAATCACAATCGCAGAAAGGAAAGCAGAGTAATGATGCAGAATTCTGATTGGTCTCACTATTCCGTTCGGCTGTAATTATTACTGCTCCAGCCTCACGTTCTTTCCATTCCTTCCAAGCAATCTTTCCTGCATCTTGCATCCCCATCGATTGCTTTCGTATTTCATGACAATGTCACGTGGGACGCATGCGCATCGAGATGACGCGCACTGAGTGTGGTCTGAAGTTCGGTGGCCTCGTCAATGTTCGGATTGTTTTCGGGCAGTTTCGCAAGGCGCGTCGTCGGGCAACGGGAAGTATAGTTTGTCGTCGATTGACGTCATCTCGTCTCGTCTTTTGCGCCGGTGACAGACAGAATGTGACAGAAGCCGCGCTGTCGCGTTGTGTCGCTGTGTCAGCACAAAGTGCACACTCGTGTGAAGAAGACGAAGACACAGCGGAGAGGAAACGGATAAACGTCGCAGCGCGGCGTCGCGAAAAGGTCAGTCCCTATCGAGCGCCTCGAGAGAAGGCGACGTCGCCTCCCGCGGCCGATGACACGTCCAATATAATTCGCGAAAGGGGGGAATTAAGAGAGGCATCTCCACGCAAGTTGCGTCCGTCCATCCGTTCGTCTTCCTATTCAACCTCCCTTTCTCGAGCACGTCCTTGAACGACGACGCCGGTTCCTCACTGGGTCCCGTCGCGTCGCACTCCAGTGTCTATTATTTATCTTCTGCCACACAGCACGGTATCATCTGGTATCTCCTATCGTTATCGCACCGAGATGCTTGACACATTCCGATCTTTAAACTCTGTCTCTTTAACAACAGGAACCGTGAAGAGACTGCGTAAACACACATATATCTCTACTCAATTTAGCGCTGAACGCAGCGGCGGTCTCATCGACGACGAAATTCTTTGTTGCGAACAACAGCCTGGTGCCTATAAATAATTGTAAACGGTTGAGGAATGAACTGTGCGGATTTTCCGATTGTCATCATCCTGTCCGTCCTTTTGTCTCTTTTTTTTTTTTTTCTTTCCTTCTTTTCGTTGCGAAAGCATAACTGACCTCCACGTTCCTGACGGAGCGAGTTTTTATTATGCGTGTTTTCCGATGATTTCTGCGTCATTGAAAAATCACCGTCTTTTATAATTCATAGCTCACAAAAGTAAGTCAGTTGACACCACAGCGGGGTGTATACAAGTCGAGTCAGCTGAGCGCCGAGCGACGGTCGAAAATCGCGCGACGACAGCCTCCGAGTTTGGATTTTCCCTCTATGATGAAATGCTTTTCGACGATGCGAAAGAGAACGGTGAGACTTAGTCACAGACCATTCGTTGATGTTCGCGATTACTAATACAGCGGTACATTCCTCCACGAACGCACACGTCGCTGTCCCACTTTACGTTCCTTCTTTCCTCTGTTTTGCCTTCCTCCTCGGTTGTTCAACCCCGCCCGCTGTCTGTCAGTCCGTATTTCTCGTTATTCTAGAATAAGCTGCTCCGATCCGCTAATTAACGGATAATTAAAGGATTTCGAGGCAGGCTGAATAAATAAGGCTCTTTGATGCAATCGGACATTGCGATAAGCTCGCTAATGTATAATGCTTGAATTATTATTGGAGTAATTAACGCGATAACATGGAGACCGTTAGAGAGATGGCTCCGTTGATGGATTATCGTGAATCTGCTTCAAAATTAGGGCAATGTCTTTACATATCACCCTCCTGTGCATTTCATATATAGGATTTTGCTGAGGGATGTTTAAAATTTTAGATATAAAGTTGAAAATAATTTTGTTGTATCATCAAAATAATTATGTAGGACACTCAAACCTGATGATCGATATTGCAAAATTTTTGATGTTTTAACAATCAGTTTAAACGTCCTACATAATTGGTTTGATAGTCCAACAAAATTATTTTCAGATCTCTATCTATCTAGATTTTTAGATACTTCAGCAAGGTCGTTGATTTTGTTGGATTATCACAATAATTATATAGCAGACATAAATTGATTACTAGAACGTCAAAACTTTTTGCAGCATTACTCATCGTGCTTGAGTTTACTACATAATTAGTATAATGGTCCAACAAAATTATTTTCAAATCTATATGTATCTAAAATTCTAAATCTTCAGGCAAATCATTTTAATTCTATTTTATTAAAATAATTATATAGGAGATTCAAATTGATTGGAGCACACTGCTTATCATGCTTCAGTTTACTGTATAATTATTTGATAGCCCAATAAAACTTCTTTCGTATTTGTATTCATCTAAATTTTTAGATTAGTACTTCAACAAAACCAAAAAGTTAGTTTGGATATACTATGAAAATAATTATATGGAATGCTTAAATTGATCGTTAGAGTGTCAAAACTTTTACAGCACTATTCATGTTTCAGTTTATTATAATTATTTTGATCGAGATGGTCCAAAAAGTCATTTTTAGATCTAGCTAAACTTTTAGATACTTTAGCAAAATCATTCTTTCCATATAAGTTTAAGCATGTTTGAGGCGATCACTGAATGTACGATCTGGCTAAATAGATTTGTACTTACTGGCCTTTTTATTTTTTATAACTGCTCTATATTTTTTATATTAACTATGTTAACTAAAAAAATCTGTTTTAAAATAAAAATATTAATCGATAATTTGTTTTCGAAGTTCGTTATATCCCACCGAATACACGTATCGTATATCGAGTCGAGGATCTTAAGTGCATCACACTGAGGGATTCGATCGGGTCGCTACGTCCCGTCGGATTAAACGAGAGTTTCATAGTCGATCGCTTCGCGCCTCGGAAAACTCGTGGAGCGGAGAATGTCGGTCACATCGTTGGTATTTTTGGAACGATCAGTATTTTTATGATCTATTGAAGTTACATCGCGACCGCTCTCGCGGTTTTCCGACTTTCAATCGTTTCGTTATTTCTATGATTGCGACGATAAGCTTTAGTTATATCTAATCTCGCACTGATAAACAGTTTCGATAACCGCCAGATAATGATCATTTTAATGATAATGATTGATAATAACATAATCCTCCTGTTTCTTTTATGCAACTTATTCGTGAAATATTTGCACAGACAAAGTTCAATGTTTAATGTCCAATAATAAGCAAACGTATTTGCAATGTTACATACTTAATATTTGCTTAATTTATGGTAATTGTAATATATTTAGTGCAAACTGGAATGGTTTTATTGAAGTATCTATCTTAGAAATTTAGCTTGGTATAGATCTGAAAATAAATTTATTGAA